TTTATGGAAAACCAATTAAGAATATATTGCTTTGTGCTTTATTACTTTCAGGAGGAACAGGCCAATACCCATCTGTCCAAGTTTAGGAAGGTGCAGCATGAGCTGGAAGAAGCTGAGGAGCGTGCTGACATAGCTGAGTCCCAGGTCAACAAGCTGAGGGCAAAGAGTCGCGAAATCGTCAAGGTATTTACAACAGCAGCTTATCTCACAACCGAATGTATGTGGTTTTGACATGGCTTATCTATTCTTTTATCCAGCATGAATCACAAAGAGCCGCTTGTTGTTTATATATTATTCAGTTTTGTACTATCAGGAAGTAACTGCTAGGGAAGCCACTAAATCTCTGTCCATCCATTTTCTAACTGCTTATCAAATTAAGAGTACCAGAGGATCTATCCCAGCAAGCAATGGGTACACCATAGATGGGACACCTCTCCATCACAGGGCACTGCCACAGACATGCGCACACTCACACTGAGGCCAATTTTCCCAGAAGCCAATTAACCTACCAGTATGTGTTTGGACTGTGAGAGGAAACCGGAGCAGCCAGAGGAAACCCATGCGAACAGGGGAGAACATACAAACTCCACGCAGCTAGCAGCCCAGGAATTGAATTCAGGATCCCAGTGCTGGGAGGCAGCAAATTTACCTACTGTGCTACTGTGTCACCCAATAAATCTGTATCCTAAAGAGAAAATGCATTGCCAATGCAATTTAATAAAGTGAAACTTACTTGCAACTATAATGAAATCCATAAATTCTTACCATTAATCTTCTTCACATGACTACTTAAAAATAAAAAAGCAGACACATCTGCAGCATTTTATTTAACTAACAAAGTCTTCACCAAATCATTGTAAATTCAAGACCTGAAGTGTCCATGTATTATGGTATGGTACGTATGACTAGATATTGTAGCTTGATATCAGACAAAAACGGTTTTTCATTACTCCCAGTCATTATCAAGTAATTCTGCTGTGTTTCTGAAACACCACACCACTTTAAATCTGCCTCAGCCTGTTAATGCCATCTGTGAACTTTCTTTAACACATTACAAAAATTCATAAGAAATGATAATGTACAGAGCTGTCTATTACTGTTGTGAAAATGTGTTAATTGTTTGTTTTTTCTTTCTGTCTTTTTTTAAGAGCAAGGAGGCTGAAGAGTAAGGGAAGGTGACCAGGTGGTGGAAATTCCCACAATGTGAATTTCCCTCAGACCTGTCCTTCTGCTATGAACAGTAGTTGCATGAATAAAGAATTGCTTATGCTGCATTTCTCATTGGCTTGGTTGCATTTTTATTATTTTCAACATTTTAAACATTATCCTTAACAAAGCATAAAAGGGTTCTTGTCAAACACCCATGTACACCAACCTAGATTCATAACAATCTGATGTAGAGGTGTTAGTCTTTCATCCTGTCCAAATTTCCCATTGGCCTTTACCAACCATGGGCTCCTAATAATTCCCATCTATGAATTGGCTTCATCACTCTGTTCTTCTCCCTACTGAGATCTGGTGTGTGGGGACCATACTGGTGCACTATTGCTGCTGTCACATCATCCAGGTGGATGTTGCACATTGGTGGTGGTGGAGCGCCGTCCCCATAACTGTAAAGCACTTTGAGTGGAATGTCCAGAAAAGCGCTACAGTATATAAGTGTAAGGAATTATTATGATGTTCAAATCAATTAAAACCTATCAAAAGGTGTTTGTGTACCATACTGTTAGCCAGTATAAATCTGAAAAGATACTGAACTTTTTTGCCAGTCGATTGTAATCAGTGCTCTGTTCTTCGCCACACGTTGCAATTTTCAATCTAGTATTACAATCTCTCCTCTGTCTCAAATTGTACACTTTCTTCATATAATTGATGCATGTAATGTTTTGCATTTCATTCTTCAGGGTCAAAAAAGTATCCTTAGCAACATGATGAAGGGTGTTTTTAACAGGGTAATGACCCTAAACATACAGCCAAACTAAAACAAACTACGGCAGAAATATTTTTTGAGAACTATTTACTTGTGTTACTTTGTATCCGTAAAACAAAAAAAAATCTCAGATTCTAGCTTCCTTTACCACGGTTTCTATATATAATGAGGTATGTTTGATATCCTTGATCAGATTCCTCTTCTCTTTGAAGAAACAGGTCCAGAAAAGCTTTCTTAATTTTAACCAGGTTAACCTTTCAGACTATACAGCTGATGGGACATCCTGTAGTTCAAGAACTATTCAACAGAATATCTGGGTTTAATAAAAGAATCTTCCTGTACCTGAGGGATACAGATCAACAGAATGTTTTTTGTTAGATTTAAATACACAGTTGAGTATTTTCTCTTCTTGCATGTTCTGTCACAGCCAGCAGAGGGAGGCATAAAGACACTTCCAAGCCTGACAAATATTCAGATCAAATGCAGGACAAAGTAGCTAAAGATACAGTACATCACATTTTAAGTGAAGGATTTTGTTTTTTAACGACAGTGTTTTCAAAGCATGCAAAACTTTGTGTGCAAGTATCACCATTAAAGCAAACCCAAAGGGATCAGTTGGATGATTAAAGACCCTAAGCACATACTGTATCTGAAAACAAAAGTACACTGATCTTACAACTATAAAATAATGGCATATGCAAAAGAATTGACAAATCCTGTCCACAGTGGGAATAGCCAGTCACAGGGTATGGACCATAATTCTTTATCTGTAAAGCAACAGATAGCAGACCAGGCCTATTTTTTTTTTGGCATACTGCAGTAATGGGAAATTAGCTTATCTTATTCAGGTGAGGTAATAAGAAGCATGATTGTACAAGCTTGTCCCTGGTGCTTTACCAGAGGCACCAAGACACTTGACTAATGTGTTACTTCAGAACAGAGACTGAAGAGCATATAGGTTTCCCAGGTCTGAACCCTACTGAGCATGAGCAGGGTACTGTTGGAATGCAGTTCACTGCTGTCAACTACCTATGACGCATACACAGCTTTTTCCTGTATTTGTGGTTCAATTTTTTTTACACAAAGGCCTGTGATTGTCTACTGAGTAAGTGGCATGACATATTACAGATATAACAAATTACCAAGAAAAGTTTTAAACGACTAAACAAGTTATTAATTTCATGTACCGTTAGGGTTTTCTTTTTGCTTTAATTCTGGGAAAGCTCTTTGGAATGAATTACAAGAATTGAACTCACAAACTCCGGGTGGTAAGACAAAAATCCTAACCACTTCCCTATTACATGCTTGTTTTAGGGAGAATGAGACTAATAGGTGTTATTCTTAGTGCATGAACTGCCATATTATTATAGGTATGTTCTAATATTTTGATAGAAATTGAAAAGGAAAAACAGATGTTTTTGACATGGACTGGACTCCCCTGTACCCCGGACATAGCTGGCAGTGAAAAAGCAGATTACAATCTTAAAAGTGCTTTAAGGGCCCTCATAGGTTAGGCTACATGACTTGGGAATCGTATCCAAGTTATCACAATCTTATTCTTCATAAAGAATTATCTTTTGTTTCTTTATGTTGAAAAGTCCTAAATTTAATTTCCACAATTCTGCATTTGTGTTTGAAAAATTCTACATTCTTCAGTCAGTTAATTTTTTTTTACCAGAGCAGAAACATGAATTCTCTCCTTTCTCACATTGTGTCTTGCTTTTTCAAATGGCATATACAGTAGTCTGGATTGAGATTATCTGAATATCTAGATCACAGGGGTCTGGAATATCATTTGCTCTATAAACCCCCCAAAAATGACAACCATCAAAAGCTACAGTCATGGAAGGTAGGAAACGTTTCAGATTTTATTCTGAACTGTCCCACATCTTCTGTAATAGAAGAACATTTCATGTGAAGAAGAAAAAAAGATCAGTTCCAACACTTAATTTCCTGTTGGACTGGTTATACTTTTCCATTCAAAACATGATTAAAGACAGCGGTGAGAATGATTGAAAACGGGGATAAAAATCACATACTTTAAAAACTGAATCTGAATACTTTTTCCCTTCATATGGTGGTGCAAATACTTCATACAACATGTTTATTGTATGGAGTATTTGCACCACTTATTAAAACTGGTTTGTAGATTATGCATATCCCCTGCTGCAGCCATAAGACATTCCCCTGTTATGAAGAGTCTGTCAGAAATGGGGAAAAGCACATACAGGCATGATCAAATATCCTTATACGTATAGTGCCTACCACATAAAACACCATAAATGAGTTAATTGTTGTTTAAAAATTTTATTAATGTACATATGTAGTTTAATAAGCAATATTTATTAAACGAATCAGTGTAAACAGTGTAAAACATCAATTCAGAAGTCCAGTCAATTTGTCTAAACATGCAGACAGCCAGTGGGATATACCCACTATAAACCTGATCTCTTAATATTTGAGAAGCTTATCAAGTAAAGGCTTGGTTGGTACCTGCATGAAGGACAGGCATTCTTCATTTGAAGTGCCAGGTTTCTCTCTACAGTTATCAGTTAAGACATCTCGCAGGTCACTGGTAGAGCTCACGAATGTGTTACTTTTGTGCCAAATCATCCAAGGCATTATGTTATCCCAGCCGAACACATTCATTATTGTGCATTATTTCTTTATCATATAATAACATAGAATGGTCCCATATATTTATTTGCTTGGTCACATGCAAAGATATCTATGGATTCCACACTCAAAAATCATATCAATAAGCCAGGTCTCGGAACTGTGGAAATCACAACAATTCTTGAAGTTAAGAAGAGCATAAGTTTTCTGTAGCTGCAACATGGATAAAAAATACATGTTAAGGGTGAAAGTAAAACAACCAGCTTCCTCTGGGTAGAATGGGAGATCAGCCTGAATCTGTGCCAAGCTGGATGTGGAAATTCCAGTTCCAAATCAAAGACTTCATGGCTGAGGCATGTGCATAATTGTATTCTCTATGCTTCATTGCAAAGAAAACAGTGATATGAAAGGGAATTTCCAAATGAAATGGAGTTAAAGCTGGGCACATGATAGTTTGAGGGGATTCACAATGATTTTTCCCCTGAAAGGCATTTCAGACTACGGTATAAAGAATGTTTAGAAATCCTGCTATTAGAATATTCCCTTCCTTTACTTTCTCTTTCAATCTGTGCCTTATTAATATTTCTATATCTAAACCACATCAGATTATGTGGCCAGAGCTTATTCTGGTTTCCATGATGTGAAGCAGACTAGGAGAACCCATGACTTCGCCCATCACAGGGATCACCCCCCAGCAACGCTGCACCCCACTTATACAACTGGGTGAACTGGAGTACTGGGATACCTGAAAGTACCTCACTTAATGTACAACAGCAGCACATGCAGTGCAGACTCAAACTCACAACCCATCCCTATATTCAAACTCCTTGTTATCAGTTTGCTTCCTTAAAATACTCAGAAGACTATCTACAGTATATTTGAGATTAACAAACTACTTCCAATAAACAGTGACTGAAATAAACTAGTTTAAAAAATGCAACAGGATAGCAATATATTCTATACATGTGTAGGTTTTTCATAGGCTCATCACCATTTTAAGTGATATCTGACAGATAATATTTTGCAGAGATTCATTTAAACCTGTGTCTAACCATCTCCATGGGTGTGTCTTTTTTCTTACAAGCACTGTGCTCAGAAAAAAGGGATTAATGACATATTAATGTGAGTCTTTGTTTCAGAATATTGTCTACTTCAATCAAATACTAGAAAACACATAGTTTCACTGCAATTAGTGCATACATGTGTATATAATCCATCATGCATGTTTGTTTAGTAGCCCTACAATGTATTTTACCTGATAAACCTTAGAGGTTACCAAAGTTAAAGTGTACTTCTAAATGTCTATAGTAGGAATACTCATTTTTGTTTTTATTTTTTCTCTTATATTCCATGGAAATGAAGTGGTACATGATATTTGAATGCAAACCATCACATATACAGTACTGTTACAGAATGGTGGGAATAGTTTTGGACACTGAATAACCGATACTGGATGGACAAAGTTTTACAAACTAGAGATTCACAAACTTTTAGTGATTATGTTTAGGCAATACTATGAAATATTACTTGGATTAAAAAAAACAACTTAGGTACAGTACCCAATTCCAACATAATGACAGTTAGTCAGTTAGTCCTTATTTAATAATAGGTCAATTAAATACCTTTTTTATTTTTAACGTTTTCATATGTTGTTTCGTGGTTCTTGTTGACTCTAGGTTTTCCACCTCACATTCCACATGCATGAGCTTCTGAATGGGAATGTCTAGAAGTCAGTGCTAGGTTACAAATAATTGGCAGAATCACTAAAACAAATGTTTTACTAAGACAAGCCAAAGTCTCAGCTGTTTTCATGTAACAGTTACGTTGTATACCAGTTATTTTCTTTGGAAACCTTTTCACATTCAAAAGAAACATTTAGACTTAGTTTTGAGCAATATCTCTTAAATTAGCATCCTCAAAGACATTTTGTGACTTATTTTTGTTGTGCTTACCAAGAAACAAACATTTGGCAAGGTGGTAAAACATTTTTTTAAACAAAGCCCAGAAATGTGCTGTTTCACTGAATGTCTTTAGCTATTGTAAGTATTGTGGTGTTTAATCCAGAAATTGGTAGGACTGGCCAAAGAATTTAACTGAATGACCTCTAAGCTTACATTAGGATCTGTATCGGCAGTCTCAGTCTCGTGAGCAACAATGCAGACTTCAACAGAGTCTCTGGGCTGGACTCTGACTCCAGTGTCAAGTTGTGTAGGGTAGGGTGGTCTTCTCCAGCAGGAATACCTCATGCCCTGGCTAGTTTCAGCATCTCTGCAACATCCAACAGTTTCTCTCGGGGCTTGCCAGCTTCCTTCCCCTTCATTATCTCTGCAGCATCTATCTTTTCCCATCCGGTGAATGACACTGGAGACACACCTGAAATCGAGATTCACCTAACTTAGTAAAAAAGTGGAAGAAACCTCCAAGGATTAAAATACTGTGTGGTGTTGCAGAAATCTGTACTTCTTGTTTCCATTAATCCATTTAATTAACTTGTCTATTATCCTCTCTCCAGTTAATCCCCACTTCCACTGTTTTTGCCACAGAAGCAGCTGAGATGGACAGTGTGGTCAAAGTGTACAAGGAGAGTGTTTCCACTGTAGCTCAGATATAATATTCTGCTGGTGCAGTTGAATCATCTCTTGTACCAAGCAAGGATAAAACAGTACTGGCTGGATGTGTAAATGTCGAAATTCTTTAAAAAACCCAGTTACAGTACATAGAATGAAGCAAGCCAGGAAACTAAAGCAATCCTGAATAAAAAAAAATAATTGAAACCATAGGCAGTTAGAAAGTTTGTAAGCAATTACATTTTTAAAAAGTTGAATCTCATTGTATGAGAGGTGAAAGGTCATCTCTGCCATCTCTGGACTTTAGTCTCTGGAGTTAGTTACCTACACCATTTTGAAACAGTGGCAGAAATCTAAGTGCAAAATGATATTCTAGAGTCCCAAAGCCCTGTGTTTGATACTATTACTAGATCAAAATAGGTGAAGAAAGGAAAGAAAAAGACTAGAACTGCCAGCAGTTCTGAAGGTTTTCAAGCAAGTACCATGGTTATGAAATATTGAAGCAATGTGGCAGTAAGATTGCTATTGAATATGTTAGTTTCAAAGACAGAATTTTACCAGAACAATAATAATTATTTGCAAGTAAAGAATGTGTCATACTTAAATCATAGAAAACATGATTTCTCTGGCTTCTGCTAATTTTCTGGATAAGCATGGCAGGGCCGTTAAAAAAATATCATTATGTGGCATTACACTTTGGGTTATGCTGAAAAGAAATAACAGTAACTTTTAAATGACAGCACAAAATTAATATTCTTTTACCAACTAAAATTTTACCATCCCTAAGCCATACATTAAATCTAATGTTCAATGTTATGGAAATCACATTGAGTTTTACAAAGTTTATTATAATGCAGTTTTTAAAGTGCATTAAGATACATAATGCTTCTGTGTAATACCTTGCTGCTCCAACACGGCTTTTACAAACACATAACCAGGCTTGGCACTGGTGGTGTCCAGCTGCCCAGACTCTAAGTCCTGCAACACAGAGCGCGCCGTGTCAAAGCTGTCATTCATGGTGGTGGCGATCACACCTGTAGGGCCCCTCTTCACCCAACCGCTGCAGTAAAGACCTTGAGAAGAAATTTTCAAGTTGTTAGAAGCAACGTGTGGTGACCACAAATCCTATTAAACACACAGACCCGAGAAAACGTTTACACTCTGTTAGCCAATCTATCTTCCTCATGCTTAAGGAGACACCATTTATATTATATTACAGGTTTATGTCCTGATTTCTCCTGTAACTGTCCTTCATGGCCTGATTTCTCTCCAGCACTGTTCTACAGTATACTGTATCTCCCCAAGATTGCATCAGGAAAGACAGAAATAAACACAGCAGTGTAAAAATGAAAATGGCCCATCCACATCTAATCCACGACCTCAAACAAGAACACAAATGTAATATAAAATAACTGAAACAGAGCTGCCTCAGATATTTGAATGATGATATAAAAAAATCAATTATTGTCAAAGTTCAACTTTGCAGAAAATAGTTAATTTAACAAAAAAATCAGTGGCACTTGCTGACTTCTGTCCTCTTAGACAAACAGATAATAATCATCTAATCCACTCCCCTTATCCAGCATCATCTCTCAGGAGTTTTTAGGGGAACTGTCTTGAAAACTTCATCTTGTGAGACCACAGTACACCATGCAAGGATTATCCTACCCTGTGTTTGAGGGAAAGATTAACTAAATTCAGATTCCTAGAGTGAAGTAGAGCTGGGATGCCAGTAGGTGACATACTTTCCTCTGGGCCAAAAACAAAACACCTATTACTGAAACCACAGGTATAGACGATACTGCCTTATAGGAAATTTCATGCATGAGAAATAAACTAAGGTACACAATATTTGGTATCTTGAGTGGTCTCTTGGAAATATTCAAAACAATAAGTATAAGCACCAACCACAGTGCCCTGTCTTAAATTCTAGTTGTTTCTCATGTGGTCCACCTACATGTAAATCTCTCCCAACTTAAATGAGGTCTAATCTATCACTATTCTGCCTTATCAAACCAGAAGTTTGCATGGTATGCAAAGAAGATAGAAAGGGTAGGCAACCCTCATTTTCAAACACCAGGTTCCAGCAGGTTTTAGAAAAACCTTTCAGATAAAATCTGAGAAACACCTGGAGAACATACTGTAGGTGATTTGACTTCCTTGCCCTCCCTCACCTGGTGCCTGGTTCACTCTCCCCATTGTGTTGGGTATCACTGCCTGCTTGTAGTCAAAGGGTACAGCTGGGTCAATAGGAAGGCTCTGGTAACCAATGCTGTTGATAATTAGGCCACAGTTCACATCTTCCCGCCCTTCTGTGGGTGTTACCCTGGCACTGTCTCCTGAGCCCTGTAGAGAGGAAAAAAGAACAGTGAGGAACGAGCCAAGGGAGGATGTTTTCAAGTCTTCCTGAGCTGAATAATATTCTTCTGATCTACTTGACTGCAGCATTTCACTATAGCCACTACCTAACCCCCACATGGATCCTGTTAATTACCAATGAAATAAAGAACCTGGCTGCAACCCTCCTTTCAAAATGAGTTTTCTCAACCAGACATACACATACTGCTTATTTTTGAGTTGCATTTAATCCTTTAATTTAAAGCTAAAGTTACATTTGCTGCTTGTTATATACTTAAGGCAAACACTTTGAGACTTTGAAAAGATGAAGTGCCTGTTGGATCACAAACTTAGAATGTAACTTGTAACTTATTGTCGTCTCACAAAAAAATAGTAAACACGTGAAAATATCCTAATTCTGCTTTCCTTGCACAATTACGTATACATGACTAAAACAATCTTCAAGTTTACAGATACATATAATTCACACAATGAAATGAATCCATGAAATGCTCATGTCTTAAGTAGTCTAGTGCCTGGCTCTTGCTTGCAAACTTTCGCTTTTTCAGTGCACTGCAGGTTCTTTTATCCTTGCACATTAATTTCCTGCTGAACTTCCGTATAAAAAAACAAAATGGACTCTGCTATGCAAAAGCTCAGGCACACTCAGCCATTTAACAATCTCTAATCCACATTAATCTAAATCTTCTAAAACTGGATCACAACAACTTAACTGTGCATGGAGCGATGCAGCTATTCCTTCACATTTACCAATCAAATCTAAGTGACCCATTGTCTGTTGTTCCTCATTATTTTTGTGGCAGAAGGCACTCCTAAACAACATTACAGGAATTATTTAAAAGAGTAAGAGGACTGACATTTTACGACTTTATTAAAGTAATAGTAAAATAAATTAATACTATAAAATCTCTTATGTAATGCTATTCTCACTTGACAAAACTATTCCTACATTTTGTGTAACAGAAGGGAAGATTTTTTAGAACAAAAACTGTGGCTACCATTTGGAAAACTTTGAAATAAAATATCAATAGCTACACTCCTGTTAGCTGTTTTTATATATCCAGTGTTAAATTTCAATCATTGACAATAAGGTAGCCGAAGTTCCTTAATTGCTGATCAATCAGCTCAGAATTTCTCCTGAAGTATCAGAATATAAAATCAGTTATAAAATAAATAACTGTCTGATTCTCTGACTCTCCAGTGACCTCCTGCCATTTGACACAATCACATAAATTTGGTATACTGCACATTTAATTCACTTAAACATGCACATGCATACCTGCGAAAAATAACAAAACACTTTACAGAAAGTAACTTCACCTTCTAACCTTTTAATCTGAACCTTGAATGCCTTGTAAAATTGACATTTTTACTGGTGTTTAAAAAAGTTTTGACTGTCCCATTTGGTATAACAAATCCTCTGTTGAGAGGTGTAAAACTGATGAAAATACAGAATTAGTGCACAAAGTTCTATTGTTATACTGCATAAAATGTGGATTATGTAGTTCTTCAATGTTATGATGCAACTCAATGTTTACCCTTTTTTGAATGAAATGAATGCATTCGCATGTCATTGTCCAATTCATGCAGGAGGTTTCGTGGTTTCTTCAACATTAACACATTTACATAAAACCCAGACCTAACTCTCACCTAGTCTGCAACCTGTATATGAAAACTGAGACTTTCATATATGCACCTAAGCTGCTACTTGCTGAGTGTGCAATGCAGCTTAGCTGCTCTTGTTATAGCCAGATAACGCTGATCTCACCTCCAGCCTGTTGACAGCCAGGCGGATGCCTACTGCTCTTGCACCATTCGCCTTGGCCAGGATCTCCACAGGGCTGCGCAGGAACTTGAACCCCCAGCAACGGGAGGCCGCGGCCTGTCTCTCTGCCTCCTTCCCCACAGGCTTCTCCATGGCTGCCTTCAGCAACAGTTCACTCAGTCTCTTTCTGGGCCTGGGCAAGTCTGCAGGAAAAACAGGAGAGTCAGAGCCCATCCAGAATTAAGACCAAGATTTAGCTGGCAGCCATCTCACCCTGCAACTCACAATTGACAACCCACTGAAGCTAAGCAGGTGTGAGCCTGGTTAGTACATGGATGTGGGACATCCTGGGAAAAACTAAGGTTGCTGCTGGAAGAAGTGTTAATGGGGCCAGTGGGGGCGCTCACCCTGCAGTCTGTGTGGGTCCTAATGCCCCAGTAGAGTGACGGGGACATTTTACTGTATATTGCCATTATTATCCCTTGATCTCTAGATCTCTTCCTTTCTTAGAAAATACACAAGACAAGTTTCTGTCAGCACTTGAGAGACCTCACAAAAAACAAGGTTGTGGATTTGGTGCTGATGGGCCAGTAGCTGGAATTATCCCTCTTCACCAGTGTTTCCCATTCCTGGTCCTGGAGCATCCCTGCATCTTCTAATTTTCATTCCAACTGAGCTCTCAATCAAGTAAGGTTATGAAGCCCTTAATTGAACCAATTAAATAGATTTTAAATTTCAGCACTTAGGACTCTGTTTGTCATGTTTAAAAATTAAGCAAGTGCCGGTGGAGCCCATTGGTTAAACTCAAACTAGTCACTGGAACTATAAACCTGACAGAAGAGCTAAAGTCCAGCATTTTGCACAGGTTTCATGATGATTTCTAACACCAAACAACTCTGTAAAAACCTAAATAGTTTTAAAACTACAGATAACTAAAGTTCAACCTTAGGTTTTAATGTGCTAAACTAAGAGAGCTCATTTGAAACACAAACTAAAAGATACATTGGCAACTCTATGACTAGGAGTAGGAAACACTGATCTATACCAAATATTCTGAATAAATGTTTGGTATAAATCAGTGAATTAAGTTAAGATCTTAAAAACTATATGGCAAATGAAAGACAGTTAACTAAAGTGATGTTTTGTGCATTTACTGGGACAATTATTAATTGTAGCAGTAAGTCACAAATTATTCTTTGATGGCTATCAGAAAACCGACCTTTCGGGATAACTCAGCAACGCACACACACGGATACTTATACACAACAATACGTTTATTAATATATAAAATGTGCATATAAACATAACAGATCTTAAGACTGAGGGTTAGCAGAATACAAAAGGTATATATTCAATAACGAAGAGTAACAAACCAAGAGGGACATACGTTTAATATATCATTCATTTATACCATTTTGTAAATGAACTTTGATTTGAACTTCTACACTAGATACTCAGTACATACTCAGTACAAGGCAAGTACATCACTCATAGGAATTAAATTGATATCAACTGGGGTTGAGGTAACAATTGAATTCTCGAGCTGTAATGCAGAATATTGAAGACTCATCCAATCTGTGTGAATTCAGATCTCCCGCGGACACAAGGGAACAGCGACAGGCTGTTGCTGTGTCCAATCAGACACAGTGGGAGAAGGAGGGAGAGATTTCTGCTGTGACGCGCTGGCAGTGGGCTCTCTGAAGACCGGCTAGTTACAGTAGTTCTGGCTTAACTAGCAGATTGTGCACATGGAAAGTGACTGCGTGTCCAAGCAAGTCACACTCTTTAGACGGAAAGAAGACCGGTTCGTTCCTAATGTAGTGCTAGTCCTGAATCCTGAGATTCAGCTGTCTACAGTTCCGACCGTAGTTCACTTGTTGATCAGGCGAGCGTTTGCAGTAGGGTACTGGCGGTTCACGAGGCTTGCTGCTGGGCTAACCTCGGGCAGATCCTTTGGTTACATGCGGGCAACCTCCGTTCTCGACTCTTAGAACAAAGTAAAGTCCTGGCACTCAGACACACTGGCTGTCACGTGATTCTCCGAGCTGAATCTGAGAACGTCCTGGAGGAGCCCTTTTCTGGGCCCTGTGCTGCCTGTTTTATCTGGAGGAACTACGGTCGTTCATTGGTTGAATGTTCCGCGGGGATTCGAGACCCACTTGGGGTTACCCTGCCCTACCTGTTCCCGATTGGCTGATCGAGGTGGAGGATGGGTAACCATGCTCTCTGACATTAGGGTTATAAACAACCTGGGATGAGACTCTCCCTTGGAATGTCCCAGACAGTAAGGCGCCAGAGATGACCATTTATTAGAGTGGCTGGAGAATCTCAGCCTTGGGAGTTGTTCCTTATCAGGAAACTCTATAAGGAAACCTTAAATCTGAACCAAATGGAATGGCCTCTCTGTTTCCAGCACCACTGAGATGAGGGAGAGGGGGACTGGCAAGGGAGCACCAAACTTACTGCCTGTATTATTAATAAGCCCCTACAGTGACATGGGTAAAACCAAAAACAGACTGTGAAGTTTAGCAGATCTAAAGTCACCATCAGACTCCACTGCAAAATAAGATCTTGATGGCATTTAAACTTAATGAGTATAGTGACACAATAAAGGTAAAATAAATTAAGGCTAAAATTTAAACCTTAGAGTCAATTTAAATAAGTAAGTTTAGAAGCAAGATTTAAAAACAGCAGACATACTTACTAATATTACTTGAATATTGTGTAAAAAATACCTTACTGGCATACAACAGCTTACTATGGAATTTTTGCAGAAACATTGGTTTTAACATACCATTTTTCTTCCAGGTTAACTTGCCAAATACCACTTTCTTTTTGCTTTCTGGTGCCAGATTAGTCAGTTGGCAGGCGATTTGGGCTCTTATCCATGTGAGTGGAATTAATATCTCAACCTGTACAGTACTATGTATATGAACCAAGCTTTTACATTTGCCCTAGTTTTCATAAATATTTTTTAAATATTTCCTAACTACTGAAATTCAATGTAATTTGAACCTCAGCAACAATAGGCTTGAATTTCCACTCTGACCAAATACTTTATCAACAGCACTACTCTTCCAGCAATTGTTACCATTTCTGATAAGCCCATCATGATAACTTTCATCACTTTATTGTGTTTTTTCCTTTACAAATTCAAACAGAAGAGAAACTTTAAATTTCTAAAATGAAAGTAGCCAAGAACAGCTGCACATTCCTTGCAAGCAGATCAAAGAAAAGTTGATGTAGAAACACAGTAAAATACTGGCTCAGGAAAAGATTTTCCGATCATATGGGAAACCTTGTCAACAAAAAAACAGAGTAAAAAATGTACAGACATTCCTTTATCACTTCAGAGGTGTTGTGTGAACTTGCATTTCCCAAGCAATCTATTAACATCTGAATTTGAATATGATCATCTACAAACAGTATTTTCATTTCATACTATGCTTGGCACTTCTGATCAAAAAGGGAAAAACTGAATTTTGTAATGACTAAGTTCAAAACTGCACAAAGCCACATACAGCTAAACCTGTCCTGTTATTGTCATCTATCACAAAATCAGGAATAAAAATAAAAATAATGGTGTCCTGTCCAGGGTGTATCTTGTATCGTTGCTTGCCGGAACAGGCTCTGGCTCCCCTGTGACTGTGAACTGGATGAAGCGGTTATAAAATGAATGGATGAGGTTCCAGACATTTTAATCATGCATATTTGAGGTTATTGCTATCTGGAATGCCCATCAGAAATGCCCATCTGCAAGAAACCGTTCCACTCACATTTAAGTTACTTACTTTAAAGTACTATGACATTTAAAGGTAAAACCGTCACTATCAGTACAACCCACAAGTAGCAGAAATACAATCTAGCAATTGACAATAAAAACAACTGCTGTTGACTTTGTTACATGTCACAACAGGAAATTTAGAAAAGGAAAAATGCTTTCTGAGGTTTAAGTAAATCTGTATGTGTTTCTCCTTCGGCAAAAAATGAAAGTGAGAATTAACACCGATGACACAAGCCAGGTGTTAATGTTTCTGTTTGCTTGCATAAGCAGAGCAGCCCCCTCACCCACAGCCTGGTGTGTACGTGAGGATATCTAGGGCATAAGTAAGTCTAAGACACTAATCTATAGGCATTGTGCCTATAACATAACCCAAGAGTTGGGGTAAGAGGTTACGCACTGGGATAGCATCTCTTTACCATACTATCGTGTTGATCACATGCTTAACATTTTTGTCGCACCTTCAATGACATCTTTGAGCCCTTCGAAATCTGCAGGATCCAGCTGTGGTTTGGAGCCTGGCAACTTGATCATCTCTCTGAGTTCCTGAATAAAACAGTTCCGATTCATTAGTCTATGAGCGAGTGGAAAGATAAAAAACTCAGACATGCAGGCATAGTAAAATTTCTTAACTGTATGTCATTGTTGTAATTCGCACAATAATTTCACGCAAACAATGGCTCTGCTATTAGAACACACACAAATTACTCTGAATATAACATTAAAATGAATTAAGAGATTTTCAGATCCTATCAGGGATCTCCATGCTATGATTTAGTCGTCTTTACAATACCCGAGGTACATTAAAAAAAAAACAAACGAAAAACCAACAGGATATACATTTCAGTGTGTAGACTCTACATCAGTTAGAGTATCCTTCAAAGAGTGGAATATAAATTGAGTTACTTTGAGAAAAAACACTGGTTGCTACAAATATTAATTGAGCATATGGACCTTATGTTTGGGGGTATCTCTAGTAAACATGATGAGATGAAAAACAGCACTGGTTCATGTGAGGCTCTTTTTTTCCTCCAATTATACAATTGAGCTAATATACAGTAATTACATCTGGTAACAAGCCTGAGATGAACCATGTTTCTGCTGTGTAGGAATCCACTGAAGCAAATACTAATCCTGTAGTACGGGGCTTTAATCCATTTTTGAACAAGGAGCTGTGGGTTGTAATAAAAATCAGCACTGGAGACACAGAAATCCAATGAATTTTAATACCTCACGAGCCTGAAATATGTGGTACGTGTCTGATCCAACAGTAAATCATTAGCCCATAACAGCCAAAATTTAGCTTTGTCAAAATAACCTAAACTGATTCCTTGAAATCTGGTGAGAAATCCCTTTTATGTGCTAAAGGTTGTTGCACAGCAACAATGTAACAGCCCAGCTTACCTTGATTGTGCAGGCTACCTGTAGGGGGCCCCTTCTTCCCACAATCAGCACCCTCTGTATTTTACTGGCTGCAATTGCCTCCAGGGAGCTCTCTGTGATGTCAGTTTTCTGCACAGAGATCACACTGTCAGTCAGTGGAGGAGAGATGCCTTAAACCCAGGAAAAAAGTAGAAGAAAAAAGTATGGTGATCTGATGAAGTGACAGCTATCCTACAGGGCAACAGTAGGCTCGTTTATCACAGTTGCAAAATAACTGAAATAGAAACACAAGGGACTTCAACAAATGTGTATAGTCATTAATATAAAAATATTAATAATTAACAAATTAAACAATTAGACTCTAAAAAGATCATAATAAATTGAGAAGACCATGATCAGCGTGTCAGATTGTTAAAAAAGATATAAACAAAAGTTATATTCCTCTAACTGATGAAAAAACATTTTCAGCTCTCTCCTTCACTTCTGTATAGATCTGAAGGAAGTTCCAATTTACTCTTTTTCTACTTTTCAGTGAAAAATTTAATTCTAGTTTTTATTTATGAAGATGTGACCTTATTTTCTTCTCTAAAGCAAAAGTAAAGCCAATCGTCTGCTCAAGTTAAAAAAAAAACTGAAAGAAAGTACATTTGACGTTTTATTCAGGCAATTCTTGTTCTTCTACTACGGTTTCTGTATGATAAAACAAGTCTGTCTAATAATGTCTTAATGTGTCACTGCAGAAAAGGACTACAAGGCCTTCACCCCTTCTCAGTTTCCTCTGCCAGCACTTGGGCAGATGGTATCAGTAGGTGGATGGACCACTAAGCGCTTTACATTAGTAAAACAGAATTTGAAAGAATATCTTGCTTGTGATACAAGTCTTCCATTCTTATATGGCTGTGATATCAGATACATCATACATCAAAAGCATATTTACACACCCACATAGAATGTTGCATTGCACAATGTATGGTTGGCCTCTAGGCAAAGGCAGTTTATGGCGGTTTTATGGGGAATTTCTCAAGTTTTAAAAGGAAACCAGACAGCTGCTGCAGATAAATCATATCAGGAGTAACTCTGATAAACGAAGGTGCACAGAATTCCTCACAGGTCATTTCCCAAAACATCCTGTGTGCTGCTTTTAATGGTTTTCCATGACACTACAGAGATTTCACGTCACGTCTTACAACACATTATCTGTCATCCATCTTAGGTTAATAATTTAATTGTCTGATCAGGCTGGAACAAAAGTTCAGGAAATGAGGGCCCTGCTGTAATCTAACAGGAAACTAACTGTTGTCCTGCTATGCAAAACTGACAATCTTAATGAGAATACCCATAAAATAAGTCTCATGTCAACCAACAGGTTCTTACAACAAAGACTTATTAAAAAAAAAAGCAGACAAGCATTACAGAATGTAAAGCGTTCTGGCATAATCAACTAAGATAAAAACATCATCCTTGTAAATAAAAAGTGACCTTGGTCACCAATAGTTTACAAAGCACAATTACAATCTAGGTCAGAGGTCAAAGGCCTTTCAGAAAGGGCCTGCCAAGAGTTAGCGCCTGCAACTTGTTTTTTTAAAAGTCAATAGTCTTATATTAAGATATAAAATTAATAATTTATACCCACAATACACATTCATATTCTTATCATTTAGTGTCATCCCTGCCTTGCTTTCCCTTGCTGAGTCCTCCTATATCTGGCTCATAACTTGACATTTTAACCTCACAGTGCTCAGTTGTTAATTATTAAAGAACTGGGATCGCATGTGAAAATACTGAAGTATGTTGATCCAAATGTTGAGAGCAGTGAAAATGCCACTTTCTTCAAAGTCAAATTTCACTGGCAGGGACTCCCAACAGGTCATGACAGACACTGTGATCCCAAACCTAAGTTCCATAAGCCTGAGCAATATAATTCAATTAGCTGCATTTCAAAATCCTCAACAGCCATCCCCAGAAACACTGAAAAAACCATAGGTATCAAAGCAGTCTGGTTTAATCAGATAAGAATATGTTGGACCAAAATGTTCCGAAATCTCATATAAAATTCTGTTGCCAGTTCTCACATGTACAGGGTACACGCCAAAATCACACAATGGAACAAATCCATATTCACCTCCCCAAAAGGGCTGAAATGAGCAAATATCTAATTTTGCTTTCTTTGTGATCACCATTTCATGATATATGTTTGACTTTACACTTGAGTGTGAAAAATGTTATCAGTGGTGTGGATTGGGAGCTTTTCTGTGAAAAAATAGGCAAGCCTTGCTAAAAATAATGCAGCAAATAAACCAAATGAATGTTTTTTTCTCCACCAAAGATCTTTCACTGGGAAGCATGATATAGAGAATTACAGAATAGCCAAGCATAGTTTCTATATTTTACTTAATTTCTTATTATATGTCTACTTATTAGACATTTATTTCACATTCTGTTAAAAACTCTCTTTGCGTACAAATAATGGCATCCATGCTGTAGATTGCTGACCTCTGATCTAGACGATAATCTCACAAGGAAATGAGAGTTGACCTATAAAGAGCTGATGTAATTACAGGTATATAAAGATAATAGGAGCACGGAACTTAGAAACTGTCTAAAAATGTTGTGCAAAATGTAAGTTTTGTACAATTACATTAGACAATTACATTAAAGCATTTGGGGATCCTCACCAATAAGAAAAGACATTTTGTATTATAATAATTATCTTACAAAAGTTCTTAAATATGTAAGATTTCCTAAAGACCTCAAGGTCACATTTTTAGGGAAATATATAGTATTGTACCACACTTAAATGTTGCCTTAGAGAACTAAACAAACTTCATGAACTGATTTTAATTCTTGCCACCTCACATTATTTCAGACTTCATTGTCACTGAGCTGGTGAAACCTGATTGTATCAGCTGAAAGCATTTCAGTTTCAAGTACAGCACTATATGTTCAGGAACATGTAACAAAATAGCTCTTTAGACCTTAGTGCAATAAAAATATAATAATTAACACATTCCTTTTTAATAGCCATTTGCTCTTATCGTTGAACATTTAACCGAGTTTCACCGAGTGTCTGAAGTCTCCAGTCTTCATCAGCATTATTAAATCTTGAAAGATTATGAATTGCTGGGTACTACGGAATGGGAGTTTATTGATAATCAAAATGTAACAGCAGTACTGCAATCTTTGTTTTTAAAACAGCTGCTTATTACATATTGTAGGTCCACTTGAGAAATATTTTACACAGAAAATCCCTAGTGACCGTAATTTGTAATATTCTAACTGCTTATAGTTTGAAAGATATAGTACTACTTATTCATCTCCATTTTTAGATAAGGTGTGTACAATTGTTTTTCATTGTTTACAATTTGATAAGGTTTTAGTTTTGAGTTGAAGCAGCAGTTAAATGTAAGAGTATCTTCAGTATGCCATTACTCAAAACTGCATGTAATGCTTTTTAATTGGAATCTGCTCTTTCTCTTATTAAGATGTACCAATTTGATAATATCAATTTATAAGTTACTTGGTTCAGTAACTTATAAATTGACTGTTCACTGTTAATCACTGTTAGGGGCTGTGCATGAATTCCTGTAGATGTAGACTTACAGAACCATCTTCCATTTTTCACACGTGATACACACATCATCTACAAATATCTTGTTCTCTCATTGAGAATTTCACTGAACAATTCCCCTGCTGATACACCCCGACTGTCTGTTGGGAGTCCCAGTAAGAGCTCTGTTCGGGCATTAAAAGAAAAAGTGTCACCTTGAGAAGCTCCACGGGAGACAGCAGTATCCGAGCCACATCCAGAGCTACGTTTCCTTGCCCCAGAATTACGGCTGTCTCACTGCTGAGGTCAGGCTCCAGCTGAAAAGACCCACAAAAAATCACCAACAAAGATAAGGCTCAAGGATGAAAGGTCTTTCCAGCACTGACAAATCTAGAGGTCTTTCTGTCAAGGCTGAGGAAAAAAAATGTGACTTAAATTTTAAATGCCTGCAGGTTAAGAAGCAAACTAACTCAGCCTAAAACCAAACATATTGAGGAAAGATTAAAGCACTCACTTAGTATAGAAAACAGTAGTGTACATTATTAGTAATTAATAGACCTATACCTAAGGCTACACCTTACACATCTGGTACACATTTTGAAGATTTACAGGGAGATAAATTGTTTAAAACAATGATTGGAGCAAGTAATGAACCAGACTCACTGATTTATTTTCGGGTAGCCCATTGTACCAGCCCACAAAATCCTTAGCAGAGTAAACCCCAGGCAGGCCTTCTCCTGGTATCCCCAGACTCCTGTTTCCTTCAGCTCCATAACTCTGTGGGGACACATACAGTCACGAGCACCAGCACACTAAAAGAACAGAGGCTTACTTTTCTGACCACCTTATCCACATATTATGAAAAAAAGGAGGACACTTAAATAAAAAAATGCTTTCAGAGAAATTAATTTCTACACAACTTAGTACAGAAAGACTGAGTGGACCTCTTGAGCACTAGGTAAGACTATCCCTTTTCTCTAATTTATTTTTGAAAAATACACACATATTTTCTAGACGCTTCTTGCAATTCAGGGTCAAGTGGGAGCTGAAGCCTATCCCAGCAAGCAACGGGGACAAGGTGGGATACACCCTGGGTAAGATGCCTGTCCATTACAGGGCAGACAGACACAAACACTCACACCAGGTCCAGCTCTCCCAGAAGCTAAGTAACCTACCAGTATGTTTTTGGACTTTGGGAAGAAACCTGAGCACCTGGAGGAAACCCAAGTGAACACAGGGAGACCTTAATTATTAAATTATAAAAAACAATTTCCTTAAAATTGTTAAATATGTCAGATGTATTCTAAGACAGATTTATTCTTTATCCATCCAACTGTATTTGAAGTGTGATTTTACAATTTTGTCAGTGCCGTATTTTAATTTTTTTTGTTGTTGACTTTTTATAAGCATCAGCACTATCGGCATGCTATGGTGACCCTCTATCCTCCTACCATACACTAAAAAGTTGCTGCTTTATCAAACTAAACTGCTTTCACTGGCTGAAAAATTGAATGAAATAAAACCCTCTGTCGATTCACACAGCAGCACTAACATTATAAAGTTCTATGTCTAAAACATACTATCACAGAGCCAAAGCAGCAGTCATGTCGACTGGGCGAAACTGGGTTGGGTTACGTGGGAAAACATTTTATGACAGTCTGCAGCATGGCAAATGGGAATGTCACAAAATGGGAGATTCACTAAACAAGATAGTTACAGAAGACCAAGGAAGGCGAAGGAGAGCAGTGAGTAGTGCAAGTGGGTGGCCTGATGTCAAGAATTTGGTAAGAACCACCAATCACACATCCATGTGTGTGAGAGTTTGGATTTCTCTGTGCAGGCAGAGAGGATTCACATGTTCAGTGCAGTATCTGTAAAAGCAAGATTAAATCCCCTCACAGAACTACCACTTTGCCTTAACATCTAAAAATGGACAGGAGTCAACCATGTTTCTGAACAGGGCACAGTTGAACAGAGTGGAGTTCAGATAGGAAGAGACTTGGTACGTAATATAATTGTTTGTTAACAAAATAAGTTCTGCACTGGCCATCTCTAACAATCAATTTCATGTATGTAGGAAAATGGTAGTACATTTTTTGTGCCTTAGACAGAAAGAGGTGAAACAACAGAGAAAGTGTAGGCTTGATCAAAAAATCATATTGTGAAAGAATCAAAACACTATGAAATAAGTAATTGTTGACTGATTTCAGTTGCACAGCTGTGAATTAAATCCTTTGTAGGCTGCAATATACAATGCTAGGCACAAAATAAAAAAATAATAGTACAGCAGCTTTACATGTTTCAGATGCAAATATACTAAAAATAAAGCAAACCAGTTTTTAAAAATGTAGCATAGTACTAGCTTGCATAAATATCTGCAGATCATAAGACAAATGGACCAAACAGCAATGTAATGAGTCACCTCCTTTTTCCCCATGGAATGAAAATGGACTCACCAGTATGACAGCATGATATGCCCGTTTCAGCAAGTCCACTGTGATATCAGAGCCCACGGTCACATTCCCATAGAAACTGCAGCGCTCATGATGGGCTGTCTGAGTGAAGGTGTTGATCACATTCTGTACGACAAAGTGTAGAAAATGGGTTAATGGGTTGCAGAAACAAGCATAAAACCCTGGCAAATAATCTTGCCAAAAGTGACAAATGTCACAGATTTCTTTCCAAGATCAGTTCAGTACTTACAGTTAGTCAGGTGCTGTAGAAAATGACAAAACAAAACAAACTGCGATAAACACAAACAATGGTTTCCAAACACTTTTCCATGCTTTTAAGCACAAAACCACAGCTAACCAATGCTTTTATCATTTAAACAGAAGACAATTTGACTAGTAAAATATGTTGTGATACCGATTAAAAAACCACCCACTTTTTCCTCTGCACAAGGCCACAGAACAAGCAATGGAGAAACTGCACAATAATTACTGGTAACAGGAAGATATGGCTCACTATGGATTCCCTACCAGATTTCATTACTCTAACTAGAGGTTAGCTATGCAAAACTGCAAGTAGTTACAGTTACTAATTAATTTCAAAGAATGCAAATGACTACAGTTACAATTTTTGGAAATGAATGGAAGTGGTGTGAAGCTTTTCCTCTTTAGGCACACAAGTCCTGCTGATTCATATCTTCCTCTGCAAGAGCTACCATTTTAATTTAAAACAGTGAATTTGCAACACTTCCTTCTTGTATTTGTATCACATTAAAAAAAACTGCTTAATTTACAGAACTTCATATTCCTCAAACAAAATGTGATCTGTTAATATTTCCCTTCAGTACCCGTCTAAACAGAGCTACTATAGTTCCATACTACTGAAAAAATAATATTTGGGGTATAATAAGACTTCATTTTTTGGCAAATAATCAGTTTGTGGCATAACCTGGACCAGATATCTATAGGATGTTTAGCATATCCTGCAATGTATGCAGCATTTGGCTACATAAACAAATCAACATTGCTGGAAATCGATTATACCTGGTTTTTAACCTTTGCAAAAACTCTGGGATTACAAAACATTTACAAATTCATATTTGCTACAGACGTGACTTATTGAGATATCTGGGCAACATTTAACAGATTCTCTTAGTGATTAATTTATGACCAGCTGAGGTTCTACAGAACATTAGCAAAACCACCTAACCAGAAAGATCTGTAAGTTAACCAGTAATGTTCTTAAAATAGGAGTTGAAAAATCCTTTATAAATAAATAAAACAGCATTAAGCAGAGATCAAGCATTCATATACAGTGCCGTGAAAATGTATTTGCTCTATTATTGCATATTTGTCACACTGGATGTTTTCAAAATAAGTGAGGTTTATATCGAGCAGGTCTGGCTGTAATCAAGCCTGGCTGTGTTCAATCAGCTGGCTCTAAATTATCTCTTAAATTGGGTTGATTTAACTAGGGGGCAAATACTATTTCACAAAGTGCCGGATGGTGTTGGATAACTTTGTTCATTAAATAAATGAAATAAGCAAAAAAAAGGTGTTATTTGTTCACTCAGCTTCCCTTTATCTAATATTAGATTTTGGTTAACAACCAGAAAACAGTGTTAAACATTTGCATTAACAGAGGAAATCAGTAAGGGGGCAAATACTTTTTCAGGGCACTGTATAATGCTTGGTACTTCGTGTAACAAGGCCACGGTATTGCTGTCTCGGCTTATTTGTATTTTTTTACTTTTAAATAGGGTGACACGGAGGCATAGCTGTAAGCATTGCTGTTTCGAAGCGTTGGAGGCCTGGTTTTGCATAGGTTTCCTCGGGGTGCCCTGGTTTCCTCCCATAGCCCAAAGACATGCTTTTAGGCTAACTTATTTCCAGGAAAATTGACCCAGTGTGAGTGCGTGTTGTGTCTGTACAGTATGTGTCACGGTGTTTCCTGCCCGTTGCTTACCAGGAGAGGCTCCGGCTCCCCTGCAACCCTGAATTGGAATAAAGCAGTTAGCTAATCATAACTTTTTAAACATCTTGATTTCAGCACCAGTTGAACAGCTAGTTTGATCATTTATTTTAATCCGGTTACTAAAGCCATCGTTGCTTCAGATTAGTATTTTCAGATGTGCAAGATTTACAGAAAGAGGATTTGCACATTCCTTTATTTATGGAACAAGTGAAGGTTTATTCCATGCTGAAAAGAGAAGAAAAGAAATGCAATGTTTTGGCTGTGGGGCCTTCTCGTTGTGTTTTTTTCTTTTCAGCATGGAATAAATCTTTACTTGTTCCTTTGCAGGCTACGCATGCTGACACAGCGACCTGCTTGAATTCATTTATAACTGGTTTCACAGAATCCTCTTTATTCTAATCTGTACCGAGTGTTAGATTTGTCAGATAAAAAAACAAAAGCAAAACATTAGAAAATAATCCAAGTATTTGGATCAGGTCCTGTGACAACAGATGTGCTTTGTGATTTTGCAACATCCTTATTTCTTTTATACAGGGAAAAAATAATAATCCCCTCTGTGATTTAGCACTTTAAACTCTCGAATGTTACACCAGAAACTCAGTCCTATTCCTGTTTCTGCCATATCTTATCCAAAATGGACAAAAGGAAAAGAACAGAATGTGACAATTTTAATACCCAAATGACGTGCTGTAAAGCATCTGCAGATTTCAGAGATGAGTTCTGCGGGAACGCAACACTTTAGAGAGAAATGACAGATGGTATGAGTTATGTTTAATCTTACAGCATAACAATGGTAACATTGGCTAATTTTCCCTCTGCTGACTCAAACAATGTTAAGAAACTAGACATATTTAGAATGAAAGGTACTTACTATAGAAGACCTTTCTAAAAAACACTACACTCTTCTGAGTAAGTGCCGATTTGGCAAAGAGCTGGCATTTAATCAATGGTAAGAGGCATTTAAACACTCAGGTAGACTAACAAACAGGTGACAGGTAACAAAAAGCGTGTGAGAGGGAAACAAAAAGATTACACATGTTACTTTTCTATTGTTTGAATGCACAACATCAGTGCATTTAAAAGTTTATTATTCTAAAAATTGTTAAACTGACCAAGATTCTTATTTTCTTAAAAACATTTTCATGTTTTTCATGTTTCATGTTTTTCATTTCCCAAATGTATTCCTGTCCATTGATCTTGTATATTATAAACAATACCACATGCATCAAGAATGCACTGTTCTGTAATGTCCTGTGGGGTATAGTATTTCTACCAACATGGATTATTATGACACAGCTATATTAACATTTTTGGACCAGCTAATGACTAGATAAGATAAGATCACTTTACTGGCCATATACATTTTCTTGTATTAGGAATTTGTCTTTTTCGCATACCCCAACTTGCTCTCCATGAGACACACAGACAGGGAGAGAAGCTTGGGGTCAGAGTGCTGGGTCAGCCATTCATACAGCGCCCCTGGAGCAGATGGGGTTAAGGGCCTTGCTCAGGGGCCCAACGTAGGATTCCTCTGCCGGCTATGCGGGATACGAACTGGCAACCTTCCAGCCTTAGCCACAGAGACACCGCACCGTCACTATAGAAGGATGTCTCGCTCAAGTCAACTGCTTAGTGGCTCCACTATGCTTAGAGATCTATGCAGTTAACAGACTATAGGTTAGGTTGGGGGGTTCTGTAGAGTGTCCTCTACAACTATGCACCAATAAGAATTTTGTCACAAAAGCAGAACTGGGGCACTGAGGTGTCCCAAGTTGTTTATAACAGAAGCTAGGAACAGAAATCTGGTACCAACCACAGCTCTAGAGCCCTATATACTGAACCTCTTCCCTTGAAGAAACATCTATAAAAGACACCAAATCAAGGTAATGAAATAGCAAGCTAAGAAGTGAGTGGTTGTCTCAACTAACAACAAGTTAGTATTTCAGGTGTCTGGTCAACTTTGGGTCAGGGTAGCTTTGGACTGTAGCAGGCCTGGACTCAGGGAGTTTCCGTCTTTGTTAATGCTTGTAAATACTAGTTTATATTTTTTATGCTCTTAAATGTAACTTTGTCTTTTATCATTTGTGTCTGTTCATTGTGCCACCATTTCCCTTCCAGGAAAACTAACCACGCCATATCAATTTTTATTGCCGATGCAGGTATTTTACATTCGTGTCAGTTACTAATTGTTCACTAATTCAACAACTATGTGCATACCCTTATTTTTATATTATACATATTAAATATTATATATTTATCCTTCATGTTTTCTTATTTCCTGAATTTATTGTCAAAACCTATGTCCTTAGTGTTTTACAAATGAAGGCCTTTAATCAGCCTTGAAACTGATAAGTGTGTTTATTCAGCCTTCCCGTCTCTATCATGTTGGAACATTTCAGAAATATTCCAATATTAAAAAAAATATTCCTGTTCCTTTCAAGGAAAAATCTATAAATTTAAAGCACATGTCCAATCTTGAATTGGACAAACAAAACAAACAAAAAACATTTGATAAAATGTTGATATGAATACCAGAAAAGGGAAGTTGCATTACTATAGGTATAGGACAACTCAACATACAGTACAGAATCTAATCAAAGTTTAATTCTAAAAGTTTGCTAGCCAGTTACTGTCTTCAACTTGCAATTAATTTCTTTAATTGAAATTAAAGCAACAAGAAAAAACTTTTATTTTATTCTAGTTGGATTCCTACAAAATCTACTTACTGTAGCTTGAAGTAAGTTTTTAACATTTAGTAGCATTCATATTTAATAAATTAAGGTCAATGCCCCACGTGGAAATACAGGTTTTCATATGAAAAATGGTAAGCTCCAATTTGACAATAACTCCTTAACCACACAGTCAAACCTGTTCTGCAAAGTGAAACGCAGAGGAGTGCTATTTGGCTATTTCATCATTGTTCCAAAGCTTCCAGCTATGACTTAAAACATAACATGTGTGGTGCTTAAGAAGGGGAATTCACTAACCTTATCCCTAGACTTCTGTTCAAGAGATTTGGGGTTTTTCGTTTTAAATGGAAAAAAAAACACATCTTAATGATTAAATGCATTAAAAACACCAGCTTTCTGCACAGTTTCTTTCAAGTTAATCATGAATGCGTGACTCTCTAAATGTGGAACAGTTATGAGAATTTCTATTTTTTTAGTTTAGATCTATAGATGAGTGCAATCTTCAATTTTAAATCTTTAAAGGAGCAGCTGATGTCATTAGTTCCAACGTTTTTTTTTAAATTGTTAGTAATCTAAAGAATGTATATTTGGAAAACACTGTGAGTGTAGTCTTTTACCTTGGAAATAAAATACTGTATATACTACACCTGACCCAGAGCAGCACTGAAAAGATTAATAAAAAAAGTACAAAACAGTAATATATTACACTTATAGTAAGTGAGGAGACAAAATTTCACACCACAGAAAATTGAGTTTTCAGACCTTCAGCATTCAGGACTGTGGCTGTTGAAAATGAAGCTGCATTTATGTTTTCATCTACTACTATGTGGAATGAAGTCTTTAGGTTTAAATAGTCAATGACTATATTGTTGAAACCAAAATAAGATGCTGCTTAAATTCAAGACACAGGTTGCAGATTTCTGTCTCTGCTCGTCATCAACAAACCACACTAATGCACCTGCCGGACTGACAGAGAGGTGGACAGACTGACCTTTACTTCAGGATGGTCAGGTGCCACTCCAAAGCGCACAAGACCAAATGGTACAGGCAGCTTCTCATAAATATCCACTTGGAGGCTCTGGTGATTCTGCAGCATAAGGAGGATATTACATCAATATAGTCTGCTTTTTTCCCCAAAATTATTTATTCTAGTAGTTCTTCTGGTATAGAAATATATTTAAAAATATAGATATATATTTGCTTCTAAGCAAAACCTTCTTTTGCAACCTACATTAGAAATAGAATCTTGCTGCTCAGCTCTGCAAAAATCCTTAGGGAAATTATTACAGTTCTGCCTTTCTTGCTTTTGGTATTATCAATATTAAAACAATAATTATGGAAGTAATAAATTGCCAACATTGACAAAAAGCCAGGGCAACTCCTGGAGGACTGGTGTGTCTACAGGTTTTCATTTCAACTCAGGTTTTAATTAACTCAACCAACCAGTTTTTGGCTTAAGAGGATCAATATAAGAGCTCCTTCCAGTTCTCCGGGTACTGCTATTTAAAGCAGACCTTGAATACCTGCAAAAACACCACCCCTCCAACACTGGTAGTGCAGTATACCACTGCACAGTAGATAGCACACTCTGCAGATGTTTGGTAATGGTCTTCATTAAAAAACAGAATAAACTGATCTCCCATCTGAAGTCAATCTGACACAGGATCTGGCCCAATTTCATCCCTCATGTGCGTGGGGCTGAGTAAGAATGGCAAAATACCTAATATACAATTAAAAGCTGTTGGTATAAAATTACTTTAATAAGATAATTATCCACCAATCATGAAACAAACTAGGCAGTTAAAAATCAAATCAATATAGAAATCAAATATCCGGTCTGGTCAAAAATCTTCTGTACAAGCAAATTTATGAACATTAACTATTATACACCTACCACTGCCAGGGAGTACTGAGCATAATATGGCATGTGTTTTCTTTGCATCTTGGTGGTGGTGGTAAGGTTGTAAACTAAGTGGCAGACTTCAAAAGGAGAAATATTTACAATAAATGACATGAAACGCAAAGACACAAGTACTATTACAGATATCTATAGAAGTTTCTTCATTGAGCCATCGAGTGTCAGGTACTGTAGGTGGAGTATTAGTTCACAGTGTCAATTCTCAATACATAGCCTGGTAACTGTCACCATGGCTGTCCCGTTGCCAAATGATGACCTTCACCTCCTAGAGCTGCCTTCCTCCTCAGTGCAGCAAAATGAAGTTCTCTGAGGTTAGTGAAGACAACAAGGTTCAAGAGGCTTTGTAGGAATGGCCCCAGCACTAACATTATCTTACTACAAGGACATCCACGTACTGTACCATTAGAATGGAACACTTTTGAAACATAATTGGTGGACAATGCTCTATTTATTGATTTATTATGAAGAATATAAATAATTTTGTTGGTTTTTCCACATTTCTATTTTTGTAGACTAACAGCAACTTGGTTTTTCCACTACTCCTTGAGCTTCACATTTAGCTGATACATCTTACACTTTCATTCTAATGCAAAAGAACAAACAAAGGTTAATTCCACGCTGAAAAGAAGAAACACTATTTTGGCTGTTTATTTTTATGTGGTTGTGCATAAAAATAATCTAAAGAGTTTTAGTTTTGCACCTACTAAGCCTGTTTTGGAAAATACCATTTTCATGTCTTTCTCCGAACTGGCTTGTGTGTTTACAGGTTAAGGTATAGTTTCCTAATGTTTTTTCTGTAGCTTTCCAAGCTTCTAATGAAGGGGCTGGTTTTGGAGAATCAGCCATAGGAAACAACACATTTAAAAAAATTCTAATAGTACTTCTGAAATGACTTTAATCAAAAAAGAGAGGTGCAGTGTAGGATTCAAGAATGTGGTTTCAGAGATAAAAGCTTTAATAAGCTTGCGTAAGGAAACGCTAACTGAGGAGTTCCTGTAACATTAAACCAGTGAGAAGCTTTACAGCGCTTCATGTGTGCATTTCACACGTAATGAGTAAGTATTGTTCCTGTTGAGGTGAGATTAGCTGAGTCCAGCAAAACAGCAACCCACAAGAAGCAAAATAAATTGAAATTACCACTTTCTGTACATTTCTGAAGCCTCTGGGATAGTGTAATGATCATATCTAAAGCAGAAGAGCTTTTGTACCTGCACTGGTTGATATCACATAAATGTGCTGCTACTTCCTGTCTGAGGTGTCTGTTCTGCAGCACCAGGTCAAATATGTATTTTTAACTTGAGAAGAATGTCTCAAAGGTCACAGCAAACAAGCTTTTTTCTAGAGCTCACATCAATTATAAAACAAAAAAGAGCCTGTATCATATATTTAAAGCAGCAAAGGATAGTTGTAGTTCATATAGTTGTGATAGGTGACTCGGGTAGTTTTCAAGTATTTGTACAAAAACACTTAAATAAGCCACTCATAAGATTCTTGCAGTACATGTAGCACTTGTTTTTCGCAACAGATTTGGTCAGGAGTGCATGATATTAAAAAATCTGAAAATCTAGAAGAGATCATTCTGGTTTCTTCAAAAGAATGCAGCACTGACCTCAGATGTACCGTGGAGCACGGTGAAGGATTTTAAAACTCATTTTACTGTATGTCAACTGGTAGAAAAATGGCTGCTCTAAATTGTTTCTTAATGGACAAGTCACATTTTTTAAATAAAAGCAGATGTTTAAAAATATAACCCCATGCTACTGGAGAATGGTTACCTTGTAAAAGCACCAGTAAATGAAGGCTGAAAAAGATAAAGATAGAATTCTACAAACTATATGAACTGTAAGATTAAAAATGAAATCTATCAAATGAAAAATCTAATCAATAATAATTAATGACAACTATATAGCATTTATCATTCCAAAAGATCTCAAAGTGCTTTCCACATATAGGAGAGGACACATTTTATCCAACACTGAAATGCACCTGCAAAACAACTTTATAAAAAAAACTACCTGTGTAATTTACTTTCTGACTTGTTATGTAGTGTTTAATCAATTACTAGAAAACTAATAAAGCCCCCACAGCACAGCAGTTAAAAACATTTCAGGTTTTACAACCTGCATACTTGGGGTCAGAATCTAATGAAAAAGACTACACAATGCCATATTTTCAATACCATCTTACCTTTACACCTATGTGTATTATCATTTTTTCAAAGTTGTCCAAAAGGTAGACTGCATGAGACATATTGGCATGTAAAGCCTGAAATATACTACTATATGCTGGTAGTTTTCTTATCTAAAATCAGTGGTTCACTTCACTGTTATGTGACATGTGACAGCACATAAAACTGTCACCATGGTAACACTCACCTTGAGCAGGTGCTGCGCAGTGTAAAATCCGGCAGGCCCACTGCCCACTATACAAACCTTGGGCTGATGAGCAGCTGTGGAGGCCACACTTCGAGTACCTAGATAACCGAGAGAACAAACAGAAACAATTCTCGTATTTCCATAAATCTTAAGTATCCTCTTCCAGAAACAATCCTTGGTCTCATTCAAAATAAAATGAGCCACTCTGTCCTTTGGAGGGCAGGGCGAGGTGAAGGTGGAAGCAATGCAATGTGTAGTATGTGATAGTATGTGAAAATCCCACTGCAAGTGTTTGGGGAACATCTTCCCAATGAAGCTGCAAGGCTGTACACAACCTTGCAATAATCAGTGGTAGAGTACAACAACCTAGTTCACCCCATAAGTATTGAATTGGGATCATGCTGGGCAAACATGAAGGCCGCACAGTGGAAGGAGGACTGGGAGCAAGATATTATCTCCCAAGCACTGGGAAGCAAGACTATCCTGCGCAACAGGACAATTGCTTCAATGTGACGATTGAAACTCACAAGAAGTATTACCTGCACCACACACCATCATCCCTCCTCTACCACACTGACCTTGTTCAAAAATATCCGTGCACACAATTTTCCCAGCCATTGACAGACAAGGAATCGGCCATCAACAAAGCTGAAACTTACACTCGATTCTTTAGAGAAAGAGAGAAAATGAACAGGCTCGGACTGGCAAGTGAGGATGCCCTATTTCACCAGCAGGCTGGGTTTCAAGCCAAAAAATGCCCGCATATTGATAATCAATTATGGGTCAGTTCGCTCGTGCAGTCTTGATTTAGGCTGACTCATCAAATTGCAAAATTTGTATACTTATTGAGAGTGTGCTCAAAACGGATTCCAACACGGTTTCTCCCAGTACCTTCAAGATTCACCCTTTCATTACCGGATCCATGAACATGCACTCTTGTCACTTCCACTTCATAAACCCAAATCTCAACTGTGTCACAGCAACCACTAATACCGCAACATTAAATATTTAAATGGCTCATGGTACCGCGAAACGTAATCTTACGTTGTCGTTCCAATACAAGGCTTTTAGAGGTGATCCCTCCCAATTCATTCTATCGTTAATCTCGCTGACAACGTCTAAAAAGATCTACAAAACAGCCACAGTCAACATGTTTACTGCTTTTGCAATCGTGGCCTTATAAAATTAAAAAATGCAATGACAAACTCGTGGAAAGTATAACCTTGTGGATAAACCTTGAAGAGCCTGGGAGAGTGGAGGCACACATTATTTGGGGAGAGTCGAAACCGGTGATTAGTTAAAATCATTTGTTCCCAGCTGAGAGGAAAAACGAAAAAAAAAAAAGAATTGCACTTTCTCCAGTATTACTAAACGTAATTTCAACCTAATAACATCAATAATCAGATGTCTGAGACCTAATGTTGCACAATTCACACTGAAGTCCTGCTTCAAATACTTGATCTTCTCATGTTATTTTTTCCTGCAACGTCACTAATTACACGGTATAAAACGAAAGTAAAACGACATTTATCAGTTAATTTAAACATATTGATTCAGTTTTTCACGTCTCTATACAGGACTACAGGCTTCCAGTAAACGATTAAACTAAACTTTTTATAAAGGATGTTTAAAAAACAAATCGACTCATGAATTTGACACTTACTGTGAAAACGGGACCTTCTTCCACGAATAAATTCACACGCCTTCAGGAACGATACTCTTCTGCAAGTATTCATACTGGACTCCCAATGATGCACTGTTCTTTATTATTTATAATGTGAAAAGTCTCTTTTTTATCGGTAAACTTGAAGTAAACCCTTAATACACGTCCGCTGTTTTAGCTGGTGCATTCCAGTTCAAAGACTGCAAAAAAAATTGATTTCGTGAATCAAAACACAAATCTTCTAACGTTAATCTTCTTTCAAAAATCCACCTTTGTACTTCGGCATTAGTTCGCTGCGGTCCGGACAGCAGTCCACTGTTCAGTACGGTAAATCTCAATGACTTGTTTAATTTAGTTAAAAAGCATTGGCATTGCATGTTATGCTTACACCTCCTATGAACGGAAAGGTAGCATATTCTTGTTAAAAGAAAAGCTGTCAGTGCAATTTATTGTGCTAATACATTGTTAAAAAATGAGGAACTGTTTAATAACATTTTAATGTAAACATTTGGCTGTATTCAAGACTAAGGTGCAATACTATTTACATGGGAAAATGCTTAAATTGTTCTCGAGATATTATGCATCCTATTCGCAATTTCTTTTTAAATCGAATAAATTAGAATTCATCTGACATCCCAAGACACAAAATGCAAACTTTGCGTGAGTAAAGACCACTCTAGCTACACTACACACGTTACTTCCTACAAGATAATTTGTCCCCAACAACAAGCCAAACATTAACAATGGTTCCGCTTTCCTACAGTATTTCGATGTCTGCGAGGAAAGGACTCACATTTTCTTTCTCTCCCACCCTCACTTTTTTTTCTCTCCTCCTCCTCCTATTTCACCAGACGAATACTACTAGGTTATTTAAACACGGCAACACTGTAGCGTGTTTAACATAAATTATAGTTGTGCGCGTGTGTTCTCTTTTTATGTAGCCACTTTTAAAATGTTAGTATTATATACATTGTATTATACAAAATACAAAACTATATAAATTCCAAAATATAATTCAAGATTTGCTATCAAAAAGTCTGTAATGGTGGTAATTTCTACCAGTTGTTTTTCACCTGAAGTGCGTGTCAAATATTTACTTTAAATAATCAGCTTCTTTTACAAACAAGCAGCTAGTTAGATTCCATAAAAATAGTACATCAGAACAAAACAGACTGCAGCTTGTTTGGTCAAAAGTAATGTACGGTATTTTCGAACTACTGTAATTAATTCCCTCTTAAAACAGAAAAATAAATCTCAAGAGGTCCCAGTGCTGACATTACAATGAATGTCAAGCTTAAATTTTAAACAGTATGGCCTATTAAGAACGATTTTTTCTTGAGTCTGTATTACATTTAAATAAGCAAATTTATTTTTGAATACATTTCATTATGTTTTCAGTAACTGGTGACACTTCCTCGAGCAGCACCAGGGGAGGTCCAGCACCAGGGAAATATGCAAAGTGTGTATTTTGTTTTATTTCTTTAAAATGACAACTTGTTACATTTAGAGCTTTGCAGTTTTCTGAAATTCTGTGTAAAATAATTCTTTATAGTTTAATGTAATTGAGGTTTCAGGTATTTAACCAATGCAGTAATCTTTAAATTTAAAAGAAATCAAAGAGGAAACAGTGAAGTCAATCAAAGACACAGAACCTTTACCATTCACTTAAATGAATTTTTTAATACAACAGAATTAACAGCTATGAAAGAATATTGCACATTGACGTAAGATACTACATTTGTAATTATCTTTCAAAAGAACTGAATTGGATTACTTTAGAATATTAAAAAACAAAAAAATGAGGTAATAATTTAACAATATAAAGCACTTGGCAGAAAGAAACATTGTTGTATAGAACACAGCAAGCTGTACCTAACAGTACTAAGTAAAAGTGGCCGAACATCCCACAGTAGTCTATCAAGAGGCTGTGTGTGTAGCTTCCAGGATTGTATCAAGGCTCATAATAGATGCTAACTTGGTAAATTGCAGTTTTGCCATATTGAAATATGTTATGATTAATTGATTTGTATATTTTTTTCACATTCTTTCACATTTTCAGTGATTTTAATTTGACATCTATGTCTTAAATATTAGACTAAATCCATATATCTGAGTTTTGTATTTTTTGCACATCAGTATATTTGAAGCTACTGTACAGTAGCATGTCTGTAAATCTACTAGTTTAATGTATTGAACAATATCAGCACCATGGATACAGTGAAGAAGCTTCTGTCATTAAACAGAGGTGGTATCACAGGAACAACTTTCTTTCCATGTCTGTTTTGGGCATTAACAAGCTTTGAAATTTAACTAAATTCCAATGTTCCAAATGTTAGTTAACTGGTTAAACGAGGTCCGTTTATTGATTTAATTCTGAACAATTACCAATCAGCTATTTTTAAAGGAAAATTTCACAACTGAATCCGACATTGTAAACTTACATATACGTTTAATTCTGTAGGCTATTTGTTATATTAAGTTTCTTTATGTACAGATTTCTGATATAATACATTATCTACAGTAGGAATTCCATATTGAAAGGCTCTCAGCAATTATGAAACCAGCTTTTAAGTTTCATTTTCACTTGTTGTTTCTGTTGTGAACACAATAATATATTATTGGAAATGAAATTGTACAGTATAAACAAGAAGCAACTCACTGTGAAACTATCGCCCATTAAAAAAAAAATCTGTTTTTGCTCATAATAAAAATCTAGACTGAAAAAATTAAGGCATGGGAGTTGTGCATTTGTGCAATGTTGTGTATTTTGTGTTCTGTAATGTCAGATATTTAAGCCATAACCAATAATTTAATTAAAGAGTTTTAGAACCTCAGATTTATAGCACAAATGCCACAATATAGCAATATTTTTAAATATTTCTTAGAGCCATAAAAACAATAGCAAATGGGGTAATGGGGGGAAAATGGTTTTGCTGACATTTTGAAGTTTAAGAATTCTTTGATGTGAATTTGTTTATATTTTTCTACTTTTTGACAGATCTTTTGTAAGTCTCATTTTGAAGCTTAAATCTTCATTAACCTAATTTTAGTTTAGACCCTGATACACCAGATACTGTACAAAGCTGTGCTTTGATTGGCCTCTTTTTTGTATTTAACATTTGATTGCTCAGTCCTGTTCTTTAAATTTCTGCAGTTGTGTATATCACTTTAGGTAAGATGCAGTTAATTTAAATCACATCGCAGTATCCAGGTAGTTTAATTGGAACATCAGTAAAATTATTTGTGTACTCCGTCCCTTTTGTATACTTTATGTACTGGTTTCTTTGGTGAGCTCTTGCAGGTTTGTAAGTGTCCCTTTTCTGTAAATCAGAAAGAAAGAAATGTTAAAGACAATCAAATTATTTTGTTTTACTGCAAATATATCAGAAGCGATCTGGGTTTGGAATGTCAGAGCCTCACAGCCAAAAATAAAAATCAACCCAAAAGTAGTTCTGAAGATGAAGCTCTGGGAAAGAAGAGAAAGGGCATTTCAAATACCTCTTTAAACATGATTTAACCTGGATGTCATGCAAAAAAAGAAACCTATTGGAAGACTTGTTCATTACAAGATAAAGGACCCACGCCTTTTCACTGTTAGTCTGTATTTTGTTTACTGTAAATGAAGTCACTGCTGAAAAAATAAAAGCAGTCAGAAACTAGATAGTGTTGGATCAAATGTCAATAAGAAAAGAAATTAATCTGCCATTACATTACCAAAAGCTGGTTTTCCTATTACCCGGCAGATTGAAAACAAAGAAAATGGAGTGCTAGGTTTTCTAATTTTCTCATTAACACGTTTTCAGCAGGTTTCTCACTTCAGTTGACATCTGCATATTAAAACATGTGAGAAGGGAAGTGTAATTGGAAATCTCCTTAGTTCAGTATCTTCCCTCACCTACCCCCAGCAGACCACTTTCCTGTATTGAGGGGAATTTAAAAAAATACAATATTGTATTAAAGTCGACGTTTTGATACTAGAGAACATGTTTTTAAATTTTGTTTGGCTTAACATTCCCTGGATTGACCAAAATTAGTAAAATGTTTAGGATTTTCAACATTAATTAAGAATTAATAATAAATAACAACCTATAGTCCTGTAACCCATGTAGAATACAGAGAGAAAGTGGTTATCAAAGCAGAGAAGAGTTTAGACAAAAGCAATACAGAATAAAATCCAACCACCATCATAACATCACTATTACAATATAAAATAGCAAATGGCAGACATATATATCGTTTAAATCTACTTTCTTAAATTAAAATGCCATAACAATTGTCAGACAATAGCAATAGCCCGGCCCTGCACCCATAGTAAAGACAAATGACATGGGCATTATTCCATTAAAGGTATTTCATAACCTTGAATTATTTTTCTGTGTGTATTGTTCTCTCCTATTCTAGAACATGACCATAACTCCCTGAGCAAAGACCACAATGGATTATCTAGTTCAGCTCACTGGAGTTTATCTGTGTTATTTCTTCATTCTTTTAATTATGAACAGCCATCAGATGTCTTGACATGCGAGATACCACATAAAATCAGATTCTTTTTAATGTTATTATTATATTATATATTTATCTCAACAAAGGGTCCTGGAGCTTAATATTTCAAACACGTGGGCACATTGGAAACACACCCATGTGGGACGCAAACACTATTATCATTTAACTTACCCCTGTGCACCACCAGATAAAGGTGCATGTAAAGACAGTAATTACAAGGACAGCCATAGACACACTGATGATGAATAAAATCTGATTGATGTTTTTTCTTCTGTGGCACTCTTCCATTGGGTCTTTTTCTACAAGGAGACAGCAGGAAGGTGTTAAATGCAACCATGTTTAAAAGTTCATGCCTGAAATAGTTAACCAAGTACATGGCTTGTAACACTTACTCTTGTACTCCTGAACAGTCTATTTATTGTACTCTTCACACCCTATTTTTTGCTTGTCTAGATATTGCTTTTCTGTATCTCCTTGACTCGTCATTTACACAGTGCGGTGCAAGCATTACTTTTTCATTCTGTTCTCTTTTCTTGGAACTTAACACAAATGTATTTTCTATACTATTCAACTTTGCACTTAAGTTGATTCTGTTCAATATTTAATTGACTAGATAATCTTCCATCAATCAACCCATCTGTTTTCTAACTACTTTGTGTAATACAGGATCACCAGAGCCTATCCTGGTAAGCAACAGGTGCAAGGCAGAATACACCCTAGGCAGATTACCAATCCATTACAGAGCAGACAGACACAGACACAAACACACACACTAACTACAGGGCCAATTTTTCCAGAAGCCAATTAACCTAGCCAATTACCTGTCTTTGGTCTGAGGGAGAAAACCAGAGCACCCAGAGCAAATCATGCAAAGATGGGGTGAACATACAAACTCCACACAGACAACAACTCAGGAATCAAATCCCAGGGCCCAGAACTGCAAGGCAGCAATGCTAACCACTGTGCCACCATGCTGCTTAAATAATTTTGGATAAAGTAATAATATAATAATGCTGATAATACTATATACTACTGCCACCATGACTACTACTGCTACTACTATTAATATAAACATACCTTTCATATCCTTCCACAATGTTAGAGTTTTTTATGTAAGTTAATTTCACAATGTTAGTTAATTTCTGTAATTAAAAGCTTTACTTATGTACAAGTCATATGCAATAACAGACATCAGCATTGACGTTTCCTGTCAGCAAAAATCAGCAAATGTCTTTTCTCACTTCCACTTCCTCTCTATTAAAAGCCAAAACGTCATTACTTTATCTAGTTCACAGTTTCCGAATACTGGCCTTTGTGGACAAGTCTGTCTCTTAATTATGGAGGGTAACTGTAGCCATAATTAAACAATTTTGAATTGCCCGGACACAGCTGAAAGTTATATTCAGTCACATACCATTTACAATAACCTTTAAATACAATATACAATATCTATTGAGCTTAAATATTTGTGAGTAATGTCAGATTCAGGCACTTGCAGAAATTAAATCAAAGCAAATCGGGCTCGGAGACTAGTGATTAGTGGTTTACGTCTCCTCAGAGAAACATGGAGCAAAGAGCACAGCTGAAATGTTAAGTAAAAATTCATCTCACTTTAATTTGAACTTCACTAAATAATAAACTGGCAAAAGTAATTTTAAAAGGATATTTGAAAGCCTTAAATACAGAAATCTGTTAATTCTCAGCAAGACAACTAGTTACTAGGAAAAGAAAATTAGGAACTTGGTAGAGTTCCCCTAAATGGTTCAATTAGCTTCAGTAATTCTTCTTCTGATGTAGGTTAAAACTCCTCAACAGAGCATGCAATTAATAAGTGATGTACAACAGCCGTCAGTGAGGCAGTCTTCCTTTTGAAACCTCTGAAACATATCAAAACGCGGTCACTATCAAAACCTCGGCTCTACAATTTCTGCTTGTGAAGAAGAAAACTACTGTGGTGTGGTGTTACATCACACAAGACCCAATGGCACTGACTGGGTTTGCAGGCAAAACTAGAAGTTACGCCTGGCTTGAACAAGAAGTCAGACCACTGGTTCTCAATCCTGACCTTCTGGGTACCACTATGTCTGCTAGGTTTTGTTCCAACTGACCCCTAAATTACTGGTGCTTATTAATGATGCCAATCCACCTGCCTGCTTGTTTAGGCTTATTTTCTTCACACAAGTCTTGGTTTCACTAATACACTATCTAAAGTATATTTCCAACCACTTCAGCACACAGTACTTTATGCTGTCTTCCCTCAAATTCTTCAATTAAATGTGCTTCCTTATTTCTGGTTAAAAGAAATAACACGATCAGTTAATGATATACAGGCACAGGAATGATATTGTGTCTAGCATCCTCAGAATGAGTGTTTATTTTTCATTTTGTTTATTTATTAAGTGGAATTGATTCCGTTTTAGCTGACAAACCTAAATAAGGGTATTATGCATGTCTGTGGCGACTTGCTGTTATTGGGATTAGAAGGA